TTGCACGAGGAATGCTCATAGGCAACAGCAGAGGCGCCAGCATGAAAGCTCCGAAGAGCGCATATTTCGACTCCAGGGGAATGCTCAGAGAGTGCGGCAGAGGCGCCAGCATGAAAGCTCCGAAGAGCGCATATTTCGACTCCAGGGGAATGCTCAGAGAGTGCGGCAGAGGCGCCAGGATGAGAACCCCGAGGAGCGCGCACTTCGGCTGCAGGGAAACGCTCGAAGGGAGCAGCAGAGACGCGACTCGGAAGACGCTGCTCAACGAGTCGTTAGGATGGAAAGAAATGCCGAACGACAACGAAGGAGACGTGATTTGGAAGGGGCTGAGGAGCGAGTAGTAAGGCTTGGAGAACAACAGTCAGCGGCAAAGAAGAAGACGACAACTAGAAACCACTGATGAGCGTGAGATAAGACTGCAAAGGAACGCCCGAATCCAGCAGAGAAGACGCACATCTGGAAGTATAGACGAACGAGTGGCCAGATCGCAAGCGGAAGCCACGCGGCTATTGAGAAGGCGTGAATTGGAAAGTACCGAAGTTCGAGCTGCTCGGCTTCAAGAGGATGCTGAGAGACACAGGAGGCGTCGGAGTCTTGAAAATGAACATGACCGGTCTGCTAGATTACAGTCAAATGCTTCAGCTACGCGTCGACGGCGAAGCAGACATACTGAATCCTCTGGAAGCGCTCTGCACATGCGCGTAGCCGAAGCACATTACCTAGGGGAGCTCAATCAACGGTGTGTAGATTGCGGCGCGCTGCATTTTCTTTCCGAGGTGAAAGCCAATCATCCGGGCAAGTTTCAAGAGTGCTGCGATCTAGGACGGTGCACCATGAATTTTTTCGAGAACTTCCCCGAAGAACTGCGCCGGCTTTTCGTTCGTGAACCTGGACAGTCCGAAGAGTTACGGCGTAATCAGAAAAACTTTCTCGAGAACATCAGAAGTTTCAACTCAGCTTTAGCTATGGCCTCGATGGGCGCGCAAGTTGAAACTCCTCAGGGCCGTGGGCCTTATTGTTATAGGATTCATGGCCAGATTTACCACAGGCTAGGACCTCTTCATCCGAGAGAAGGAGAGCCACGTCAATACGGGCAAATATACATCTTGGACACAGAACTAGCTGCACAGCAGCGTTTGGGAGTCGCAATGAATGCCGAGTGTGACCCTGATTTTATGCGATTTCCTCAGTGGTCTACTATCCAGCGTCAATGTCTTATGCCCGATCTTTCAAAATGATGCACGAGGTGGAGCAAGCGGAACTTGCAATGGCAGCCCGCGAGAACCGTGCTCCACTTAGCATCCGCATGGTTTTCGAAGAGAGCTCCGAAAGAGGATTAGCGCGGAGGCAATACGATCTTCCCACAGCAAATGAAGTTGCAGTGGTCTACGTTGGTGAAGACAACGATGTCCCTGCCCGCAGAAGTCTTGCAGTCCATCTGCGAAGCGAATCGAGTGAGCAGCTCATCAATATCCGTGACATTGATAAGGTCTGTGACCCTCTGACGTACCCGCTCCTATTTCCGACTGGCGAAGGTGGCTGGGAGCCCAGTCTGAGGAATACAGCTGGCACACGCATCACCCAGAAGGACTACTACGCATATTTGTTTTCAGTTCGTGACGCCTTCAACCCGATCCTATATGCAGGGAAGCTGTGTCAGCAATTCGCAGTTGATGCATACGTGAAAATCGAGCAAAACCGTCTCAATTTTCAACGAAGAAACCAGCTATCGCTGCGCCGCGACTCCTACACAGGATTGCAAGATTATTTGGCGAGAGATGATATTTCCGGACCGCCTGGGAACCGAGTCGTATTGTCATCATCGCATCTGGGCAGTCCGCGTGCAATGCAGCAGGCCTATCAGGACGCTATGGCGATTGTGGCACGCTACGGAAACCCACCTATTTTCTCACGATGACATGTAACCCGCAGTGGAAGGAGATACGAGAAAACCTCTTCCAAGGCCAGACGCCATCAGATCGTCCTGATTTGGTGGCGCGTGTATTTCACGCAAAACTTACAAGAACTATGTGACGATCTTTTTAAGAAACATGTCCTAGGGAGAGGTGGAAGCATATGTGCACGTCATCGAATTCCAAAAGCGTGGGTTACCGCACTGCCATATGCTTCTTATCATGAAAGAAGGTTGGAAAGTGCGCACGGCCGAAGATGTGGATAAAGCCATCTTGCGCTGAGATCCCAAGCAGAGAAACCGAACCTGAGCTCTATTCTGCGATGACATCGTATATGATTCATCGACAATGTGGACCTATGGATCCACGTTCACCGTGCATGCGAGGCGGCTCATGTTCTAAGAAATTTCCCAAGCAACTCCGCGATAGGACCTCTGTGGATGTTGACGGTTATCCCTAATTATCGACGGCGTAACCTTTCACCAACTGAAATCAATGGGATTCCTTACAGCGATGAGTGGGTAGTTCCGACGAATCCTTATCTTCTTCTGAAGTACGATTGCCATATCAACTTGGAAATATGCGGTATGGTTTCGGCTGTGAAGTACCTCTACAAATACATATATAAGGGGTCCGATCGTGCCGCGTATCACCATTGAAAGTGAAGGAAACGTGGACGCGAACGAGAACGTCGATGAAATCAAGCAACATCTCAACACCCGCTATGTATGCGCCCCACAGAGCATCTATCGAATATTCGGCTATAACATGCAGGACAAATCGCACACGGTGTACAGGTTAGCAGTACACCTGCCCGGGTTCCAAACAGTCCACTTTGTTCATGGTCGAGAGCGACAATATCTTGAACAGGCTCAGCGATCTTTTACAACCCTGACAGCATTTTTTGAGCTAAACAGGCGATGTGAGCAGATTTTCGAAAACGGCCCGTCCACTGATTTCACGATCGATGCTCGAAATCTCTACTACTATCAACTACCGGAGCACTTCACGTTCGATGCTCGACGTGGATGGACACCGAGGAAGCGTGGAGGCCAAACAAATCGGTAAGGGTGTTCACCAGTGTCTCACCTCTCAGAGACAGAGCGATACTGGCCTGCCCGAAACTCCTGCCTCAACTCAACGGAAAGACGTCCTTCGAAGACATTCGAACAGTCGATGGCACAACTTACGAGTCTTTTGCTGATGCAGCAAAAGCTGCTGGGTTTCTAGACGACGATAGGTATTTTCGGCAGAGTTTGCAGGAAGCAGCTCATTACCAGTCTGCAGCAACGATGAGGAGTTTTTTTGCCTGTCTCATGTGCTTTTGTGAGGTACTACATGCTCAAGATTTGTGGGATGAGTTTGCTGATATGATGTCGGATGATTACATACGACAGGGATTTGATCCAGAACATGCTATCGCTTTTGCGTATTTTGACGTCTTCAATCGGGTTGCTATGATGGGCAAAAATCTAAGGCAAATCCTAACTCCGCCCACCGCAGAACGCCCATCTGCACCAACAATGGTCGATTACACAGCTTATGAGAGAATTGGATGGAGCCAGTACGAAACACTCAACACTAAACAGAAGGAAGCTGCCGACGATATTCTTGGTGCGTTGGAAAGATCTCAGAACAGATACATCTTTATTGATGGTCCCGGCGGCAGTGGCAAGACGTACTTTATACAGCACCATTTATAACATTGCTGTTGGGATGCGGCGGAAAGTTTTATGTGTGGCTTGGACCGGCATTGCAGCTAACCTGCTCCCGGGAGGACGAACTGTCAACTCAGTGTTCAAGTTAAATATCGGTGACGGTAAACCGAACCTCTTCAATGAGACGACAACAACGAGAAGCTGAGCAGCTCATGGAGACGGATATGATAATATGGGATGAAATCTCCATGGCCCCGAAGGCAGCTCTTGAAGCGGTTGATGCACTCCTGAGAGATGTGATGCAGATGGACGCGCCCTTTGGAGGTAAAGTCATGGTGATTGGCGGTGACTTCCGACAGATCTTACCTGTTGTTGAACACGGCCAGAGAGAGGACATTGTCGAGTCCTGTGTTATGAAATCATTTCTATGGCCGTTATTTCGCGTTCACAGGCTTGAAGTGAACATGAGAGCGCAGGAAGCTGGCAATGATTGGAGAGAACGACTTATCGAAATCGGTAATGGAGAGGCGAATGACGAAGATGGACGCACAGCCATCCCACAAGAGATGATTTGTACAACGGATATTGTTACTGAAATCTTTGGTGATACTATCGACCCGTCAACTACTTCTAATCTCTTGCGACAATGCTATACTGGCACCGAAAAATGTGCACGTTCACCGTTTGAACGACGACGCTCTTCAACGTCTCAGCATCAGCGCACCAGAAGATGAGCGTATCTTACAAGAGCGTTGATGAAGCCATTTATCCGGAGGGGCAGCCACGACAGCTGTTTCAGTTGGAGTACTTGAATTCCCTCACTCCAACAGGCATGCCCCCACATGAGCTACATTTGAAAAAAGGGGCAATAGTAATGCTGCTAAGAAACTTGGACGTAGAAAACGGACTGTGCAACGGAACACGTCTCAAGGTTGAAACACTCGGACGCTTCACGTTAGCTTGCAGATTTATTTGTGGTGAACGAAGGAACCAGTTAGCTATAATTCCCAGGATAGACAACTACTGGGACCAAAAAGCTCCTTTCAAGCTTCGTCGTCGACAGTTCCCTGTGCGAGTAGCTTTTGCGATGACGATCAATAAAGCTCAGGGGCAGTCATTCAACAAAGTTGGCGTGTTTCTTCCAGAAGATGTTTTTTCCCACGGTCAACTCTACGTTGCACTCTCCCGCGCAAAAACACCTGATGGAATCAAAGTAGAGTCTGCTTCGAATTGCTTGAAAAATATAGTCTACGATGAAGTTCTACTGCGATGATTCTAATTCAGCACTCCGGAAGGTGAGAAAGAAAGCAAGCTTGAAGTTTTCTGTCTCTTCTTCACTTTTTTCATACCACCCTTATGTCAGGTAAATCGATAGAAAAAGAGTGCTATCATCTCATGCTACACCACTTGGTTCTTTAATCACACATTTTTGCGAAAAAGATTTGACGGCCTAAATGGTACGCCAGGTTTTTCTGGAGATCAACTACTGAAACCTCAAGGATTCCATTATTGAAGAAATCTGGAAGAATGCACGCGAACCAGAAAATCAAGTTCATGTTCAGTTGTCATTATTCGCAAGGGAAACAAGTTCACTGGATCTCCTTTTACAGAGTTTTATAGCTCCCACTTTTCTCTCAGACTTTTCTTTGAATTTTTCTGAAGATTCTCAATAAATTTCTTTTTACTGTAATTGGAAAGATCAGACTATTTCGTTCTACTCATTGCTACACGGCGTAGCAAAGCATAAAAGTAGCATTACTATTGAGAAACTAATTGTAAAACCAGATCGAACGTTTTACAAAGGGAAAAGTGAATAGATAGTGTGATGACCGCATGAAGATGGGCAAGCGAAAGTGTCATCGAAACATAATGACACATAAAAAGCCGCCAACTTAGA